TGTAAAATCAAAGCCTCGGATGGATGACTCTAATACTACAGAAATGCAACCCTCTTTTTTACCACCTATGCTTTTCACTACACCTGAGTCTGCTATAGACTCTTTCCCTGTCTCTGACCAACCTGTATCCAAACTTTCCATGAAAAATATGCTTCTTTCACTAAGACAGTCCTTGCATAATGATTTGACATCTGTGATATCTCAAATCTCAAACACGGTACAAGAGCATGATCAACGCATACATCATATTGAAACTAAGATGAGCGAAATGTTCTCAGCCCATAACGACCTGGTAGATGCACATGCAGACCATGAAACTGAGCTGCAGCAATTGAAACACAAATTAGTGGATCTGGAAGATCGTTCCAGAAGGAACAACATAAAATTCTGCGGCATCCCCGAATCCGTTAACACGGATGCTATAGTGCCTTATATACAACAATTAATGACACATCTTCTTCCATCACTCACAAATCTAGAATTAGCCATTGATCGAGCCCATAGAATCCCTAAACTATCCTTCCTACCCGCATCAGTGCCTAGAGATATACTGGCACGCATACACTTTTACCATGTGAAAGAAAAACCTATGACTGCAGCAAGAAAAAGGCATACCAATATCAAATTATACGCAGACCTATCAAAAGCAACACTGAAAGAAGCTGATCTCCATTAGCAATGCACTGCGCAACAATGGCATTGGCTACCAGTGGGGATTCCCCACTAAACTCACTATCAAGTGACATGGAAGAGTGTTCACAATCAGGAGTCTAGAAACAGGCCTTGAGTTTCTAAAGGAATGGAATATCCTACCTGCAGATGACCATCCTCCCAATCCAAATCAACATCAACAAATGGAAGTGGATTGGACCTGATGGAAGTCCTACCAACTCCGTCAACATTAACCTGATCCTGCCTAGTTCAATCCAGTATTGATCACTGGAACTTTGTCCTTAATTGAAAAACCTGAGACCTCAAGTGTCTTGCCAGCATGACAACTCTCCTGTGTCATGCTTGATCAATCACCCCTGTTCAACAGTAGCAATTTATGCTACCCATTTTGCTTGTATTTTTTATGTCTATGTACAAGAATTTTTTATGTCCCATTCCGCTCCTACCCTCCTTTATTTCCTTTTTTATTTGTCTCCCCTCCCATCCCAATCTCCCTCCGTTATATTACATTTCAAGTGTAATGTCTGACAAATATATGTAACCAACCAGATCCTACTGCTTAATGTGATGGAACAACATAAAATTGCACTATACTGATTATACTGTATGCTACAAACCTGTCTTCACTGCGTAAACTGGAAAGAATCAAATTTAAAGTGAACTTGTACTTTACTCATACAGGGCAAAGCAACAGGTTCACTTTAATGCAGACCTCCCCAGTAGCACCAGCAAACCTCCCCAATAGCACTGTTCTGTCTCTCCAATATAAGCACTGAAAGTGTGATCTCTGTAACTTACAGTTGTGATGAGATAGCAATAACTTCAATCTTATTTGACTAAAACAGGCAGTGACTCAATAGATACAGTTTGGTATGTGAATGTCCTCACCCTAGGAAGGAAGTATTCCACTAGTAGGATCACCAAGTGAAAATAAAGAAAAAAAGCTAAGCCAAAAAAAGACAAACCTGCCAACTAAGACAACTAATTAAATGTAAGCATAAAGAATCACAATGCAATATTAGTAATACAAAGACAGAACATGTGGATCACAGAATTTAAAACTGGCTCTTATAAAAACTAAAATGAAGCTATTTTATAGAACACTACTTATACTGTTTATATGGAGGCACATTAGTCAGTATGGGTATTATGTTAAATCTGGAAGCAATGTTAGTAGATGAATTTGATGCCAGCCATTATAAATTACAGATGTTTGGGATTTTGTGCAGCTATGCTGAAACTGTCAGTAAAATGTCAAGCTGCATTTACAGTAAAAATAAGATACGTTTTTAATCATATATAGTATAACAAATTGAATTACGAGTATCCTTAAATTATATTTTAGCTAAAATTATTTTGGCTTTATTAAGCAATTTTAGAAGAATCAACAAATTTAAATTGTAATTCCCGCTTTTTTTGGAAAGAATGAGGAAAGGGTTAGAATGCCATTACATAGAACTGTGGTTCTCAACCTTTTTGAGACCAGGACCCAGTAAAGTCTTCTAAGACCTTCCATGCCACAACAGTAAAGAATGTAGTTTATAACCACACCATAAAAGTATGGGAATGCAAAACATGTATTTTAAAGCTGGAAGGCTCTGCATTGGGCTAGGTGTCAATGGGAAAGGGAGGGAGTTGTGGAGTGCGTTAGAGAACTCTGAGGCTGACTTGGTTAGAGAACTCTGAGGGACAAGGTTTCTGGTGGCGAATGATGAGCCCAGTTGCTGGTTGGGGGGGGGCCTATAGGACACCCTAGGAGGCTGAGGGTGTTATGGAGAGCTGGGGGTTCTGCAGCAAGCTGGGGGGCACTGTAGGAGGCTGGGTTGCACTTTGGGAGGTTGGAGGGTACTGCGGAGGACTCTCTGGGGGCCTAGGGCACAGTGGGCCATTATGGGAGGTTTGGGGCACTCCAGCTGGCTGGAGGCCTGGGAGGGGGAAGGCTGCAGCCAGGCATTGGGCCTCGGCCTGGTCGTTGAGAACCACTGATATAGAAGATGTTTTTTGTATTGTATGGTTCCTATTTTCTTAGATATTCTCTGTTCTTATGTACACATTTCCCTCAGTATCCCTCTTTTACGACTACGTTTCTTTATCTCTCCAGCATCAAATATCAGCTTAACATTTGTCGGGTTTTCTGCATTCCTTTCCATCTGGCCATCCCATATTTTATGTAATAAAAGGTTGCAAGTCTCTCCTTGTAAGAGTTCACACTGAACTAATGAATCCCTTCACCTGCACTCATAAAGCTTATCTAGTATAAAGGTTTAAGGTCATTTAGTCTTCAGATTGTTCCATTCCTGAATGAGCCACAGAAAAAGGCAAAGCCTAGCAACCAGTACACAAAAAAATACAATGACAGAGGATAATTGCAGGTGCCCTCTGCAATACAGCACAGTGATAATCTACAAAAGCGTTTTTTTAATTAACATAACTATTTGAGATAGATAGATAGATAGATAGATAGATAGATAGATAGATAGATAGATAGATAGATAGATAGATAGAGAGGATAGACTTTTCTTAACAAACTTTGTGAACAGGTTTGATGATGAAAAGAACAAAATGGCATACTAAAGACCCCAACTAGTTTAAGTAAAACGCCAGACAACACTGCTCATCTAGACTTTGAGAGAACAGGGGAGAGTCAGGTTTAAAGTGTTACTAAAACCACAACAGTAAAATCAGCCTGTATAGGCAGTAAAGCATGCTTGTTTTACCCACTGTGGAACCTAAGGGGTTAATCCTCCGCATTGTGTAAAAAGGCCGTTAAGCCTCTCTTCTCTGTTCCTTCCCTTTTTCAAGGGACCACCTCTTATCTCCAGACTGAACCTTAGGCATGCACATGCTCAGTTTGGTGTGTATTGCTAGAGAGGATTTTGTTTTCTAGGGAGAGTACATGTGATCAGCACAGGGCCAATCAGCATTGTCCAGACAGAGGTCAGGGGATCTGCATCCTCCTAGAGCAGAAAGAAAATTCCTCCTACAAGCTTTAGCTAGTGGTGAGCTGGACACAGATAGAAGTCACAGGACTGCTCTAACTGCTGATGAGAAAAGGTATTTAGCAGTTTATATTTACTAAAATAATTGCACTTCCATGTTCTATGTACTGTGGGAGACCATATATAATGGATGCAAGGTCCTGGGTTTAGTAACACTTTAATTGCTATCTTTGATGCATCCTCAGTTTTTATCATGATGCTTGCTGTCACAGGGACAAAAAGTGTTGGTAAAAAAAAACACTGTAGTAAACACTAGAACAGGACTAAAGGGGAAATTTCCACAAGGTGGTAACTGTTCTGGTGACAGTTTTCCTCTCACTTCCTGTTGTGTCTCTGTGACATACACTGAAGAGAATTCATCATATTTTAAACAACATTAAAAGAGAAGTATGGGACTTTTTTTTAATTATAGTAACCTAGGTGGATGTCCCCTGCCGGCTTTAAGGGTGAGAACTCAGCAATCACATGACCTCTGTTCGAGTTCTCCCAACCGCTTTGAGCAGAGAGCAGTGACTTGACAAATATCTTGGGGTAAACTTGACAAATATCAGTGAACAGTGAACTTGAAAAATATCAATTGAATTACAAAAGCCTATGTGGTTGATATACTATTGGTCACTTTGTAAGGAAATTTTCCCCAGAGCATGTAATCATTTGCAAGTAAAAATGCTGTTTTTTATTCATGTATGTTGTTGGGTATACTTCGCAAAGTGAAGCTCCACCAAATTCATTTAGCTATGGGGCAAATTACCTTGCACAGTTCACATCTTATTTGCCTTTATCAATAGGCCTTGGTTAAAAAGAAATGGGGAACCCTAGATCAATAGGTGCTTACTAAGCAATTTTGACCATCGATTGCCAGATCTCTGGGCATCTCAGATGCCACTGGAAATCTTGGTGGGGTGGGGGTGGGGGATAGCACTGCTCAGCCACCCTTTTATACACCCCCTGACCGCCTGTCTGAAAGAGACCGTACAAAGTGCAAAGCGGACAGTGTATTTGCCTTTCGTAAATTAACCCCATGATATCAACCATTGTAACCCTCTTGTTTGATATCTGTAACTTTTGATAATTTTCCTCAATAAAAATATTGATAGAAAAAAATTGCTGGAGTTCCACACCAATTCAGCCATGACCAACCTAAAGAAAGTATATCATCATGTAATTAGTAACCCAAATTTTTTGTCTATTTTAAAATAAAACTTTAATTTATCTTACCTGACCAAGATCTATAGTGACATTGACCTCATTGTAATGCAATCCCAATGATAAGGGAGGGCTTTGCCACCATCGCTCTGTTCCATCAATGGCATTGGATGCAGGATGTACTTTATTAGGATCTGAAGTGTCACAAAAATCACAAAACTGCCCCTGTGAAAAAAAAAGCAAATAAATACACATATACTCCAAACATAAAAAAACAAAAAAAACAAAACATGATACTGAGCCTGGATTGACCTTGATTAACTTGATAGAGTCAATATGACAGCCAGAGTTTACAGTGACTTATAGCAAAGACACTAGAACCTTGTTTGACTGACAGCAGTGGGAGCCATTGGCTCCCACTGCTGTCAGTTAAATCTTGTGAGGAGGAAGCAGGGAGCGGGGCCTGATCCTGATCATGTATGAGTTAATATGCATATATTAAACAAAATTTAAAAACTATATTTCTTTAAAGCTGATTTGAAATAGCAGCTGCTTTGCAGAGTCTTACATCAACATAACTGACCGGTTAGTCTAAAACATTGTCTCTCAACCTTTTTTCAGTAAAGGCAACCTTTAGGCCCCATGTACACAGGACACTTCTGAACGATGGAAACTGACTGCTGGAAAACGTAGGTTAAAAAAAGTTTGTTTAGCCGCATTTGCATAACGCGTTTATGCACGTTTATGTGCGTTTGCGTTTAGAAGTGGGTTTTAAAAATAAGCACAGGAGAGCCTTCCAAATGCCCAGAATGCACTGAAAAGTTGGAAATTATTAACTATTTCAGATTGTTTCAGAGAAATACAGAGAGTAGAAGCAGAGACAGCAGTATGTGTTGAAATTAGCTTAGGTGTGAGTTGCTCAATAACACTTCTTTTGTTTCCAAGGGTGGGAAAGATGTCTGGTGGAGTCATTAAGGCCACCTGGCAGGGGGTCTTCATGAGGAATTTGAGGTGTGAATGATCATTAACATATCTTTTGTTTCCAAGGGTGGGAGAGGTCTGAGGTGTGAATTGGTCATTACAATGTGTGACAAGCTTGGTAGGAACATTCTCTTTTCAGTGTTTTGTCCATCAGAATACCTTGAAAACACTTTGCATGCATTTTGCATGATGAAAAAAGGCTCTGGACAGCATCAAGAACTGGAAGAGTTTAAAAAAAAATTCAGACGCAAACTCTTATAAATGTGATTTGCTGCGTTTACAAGCGTTTACAAGCGTTTTGCGTTTGAAACGTTGATAAAATCGACTGCTGAACGCAAGTTTTCTGCATTCAAAAAAACAACTGTAAACTCAAATGCCTGTAAACAATTGTAAATGAAGATGTGTACATGGACACATAGGAAAACATTAGGGGCAGGGGAAGGTCAAACAAGGATGCCGTGTAGGCGACCGACATCCTCCATATCAACTGATGACATCACTGAATGTTAGAACTTTGGCGGCTGGTGCACAATGAAAACCTGTGGCTTTGTGTAAATAAAAGTCAGGCTTGATCCACCTGCTGGCATGTATACAATTATTCGGCAATTTTACGGCATTTTGCCAAGGCACCCCTGAAGAAACCTCAAGGCACCCCAGGGTGCCTGGGCACCCTGGTTGGAAAAGGCTGGTCTAAAATATAGCAAACAATACAAAGTGGGGGACTTGTAAAGACAGACAAGTGAAGTCGACAAAACTGCAAAAAAATATGACCACGCGGTTTGTAAATTCCTGTATCAGACTTAGTAATGGTGAAGCATTCAAAGAAAGCTCATCAGTAGTTATGAAACATTGAAGTTCATGTTTTTAAAGAAAAAGGTAATAATGCATGCATATAAAGGCCCTATTCACATTATGATGCGTAATGTCAGGCATCGCGCATATGAGTGTTTTCAAATGCTGTCGCGATATACTCATAGGGTGGCCCATTCATTTCAAAGAACTGCACTATGCGCAATAAATGTGGCAAAGTAGTTTATGCATTTGAGCTTCAAGTGTTTTTTTTTTTTTTTTTGTTTTGCTGCATGTCTACTTGTCATGTTTGAGATGCCATTAACAGTGGCATTAAGAGCACCAGGGCCGTCTTAGTAGCATGATGGGACCCTGGGAAAAGTAATGCACAGGGGTCCCTATCAGCCTGCCCCAATTTACGCACCTACTCTCAAGAATCAATGTAAAGTTGACAGAATTAAACATATACTTATTAGTACTTTCAATAAAATTGAGTTTAAACAATAATAAAGTATGCCATAAAACAAAGACTAATAAACACAAAGGGCACAGTACAGGTGGAGGCAGAAGGGCACAATACTGGGATCAGGAGGGCACAGTACAGGTTCTGGGAAGCTGCCCGGGTCACCCTGGGACAGCTTAGTAAAAAGCTTGACTGTCCTGGCAAATCCAGGACAGTTGGTAAGTATGATGTAATGCAAGATTTTCCTGGGGCCCCTGGGCAATGCCCAGGGGTGCCCTTGTATTAAGATAGCCCTACACGGCACCATAAGCACCACGTGTTTTTTTGCACATTACGTAGTCTGAATGCAGCCTAGCTCCATTATACTAGTATAGAATACAACTATACTGTCAGATGTTTCCCAAATACTAGAAAATAGCGTACTGTCTGACAATGTAAAACAAAGTAACCTTTAAGCTCACCACACATGTGAAAATCTGATTGTACAATCTCCTTTAAACCTGCTAACAAGTATGCAGACTAGAGGAAGGGCCTGCCTGATTGTGTACAGATTGACTGAATAGTGTACTTAGGTCCTCATATCACATAGTATTGGTAGATCTAAGATCGACTGTACAAAGATCATATGGGTAGATTGTAACGTGTATTGTGAGTCTTAGGGATCATTCACACATTCGCATTTCAAATCATACATGTGCTGTGTAAAATCCTCTTTGCATTTTTATAAAGTGCAAATCACTGCACCCCAGCTCATTGCAACCTAAGAGTTGAATGTGTAATTTTGTGACACTTCAATAAAATGTATAAAAAAAAAGAAAAATGTAAACAGCGCAATGCATTGTACCAACACATCACACAGTCCCTAAATGCCTACACATGCGGGTGGGTGCAGCATGGTGCAGTGGCAGTAAACACACTAAGTCTGGTTGCACTGAACAAAATCTGCATTGAAGGAACGTCCCAAAGATACGAACCGCCCAGTGGGGAAGGGAAACAAGCTGGAGACAGTCACATTTCTGTGAAACCTTGTGGATTGGAACAGGTTCGGATGCACCGACAGCATCTGTCTTCAAATGTGGAATGTGGCCTGGCCAGCGTGAGCCCAATGGGGAGGATTCCAAAGGAAGGTGGCATGTCCCTAGCCTGTCCCTACTCACCCAGAACCTTTTCCTACCACTGTTTACTGCCCCTGTCAGACAGGTGAACCATCCCTATCCTACCCACTCACAAGAACGAGTGTCAAATACTGGGAGCAGGCACTTTAAAAGGCTCTGTTCACCCAAGATGGCCACCATTGTCACCTGGATGCAGCATAACCAACCGGAATGCTGCCTCGGGGATCAAGGAAGTCAGAGAGAAATCAAGTTTCTCTCAACTTCCTTTCCAGCTGCAGTACTGCTCCAGCTGAGTGCCACCTTTAGTAAAGAACTTGGACTCCACCTGCCTACACACATACAGGGGACACACATGTGAATTGCAGACAGGTGTGAACATGCCCTTAAAGCAAACCTATGTTTGGACATCCAGCACTTCAAAAAACACCTTTGCTCTGTATTATACAATATCTCAGCTAATTGTGTTGCTTTTTTGCTGACTTTCTTCTAAAGGCTGTGCTAAAATCATATTCAGTCACAATCACCCCAAGCAACCTATTCCATATATATGTGTTCTAGGCTTTCAGGATAGACTAGCACATAAGAAGTGAACATAATCAGCTAAATGAATGCTGAATATGTCATGTTTTGCAGGTAACAGAATCAGCATATTTCCTTTTCCACATGCTTTAAACACATCCTGCAAAGCATGTGCTGTATACAAATGATACACAAAGCTGCTGACATTAACTTTTTCAGGTATAAGGAAAAGCACAACAGTGCGAGATACAGTATGTGGGTCGTGAAAATGATTACTCTTCTACAGAATGTAGTACACTTTAAAGGGAAAAATCAAAAAATTGCATAGGCACTATAGTTTTTCATGGTGTCCAAAGCATTATCCTATTTTAAAGTAGAACCCCAGACATAATTGTTTTGTTTCGTAGAGAACAGTGAAAACTCAGTGTGGCCAAGGGCAGAAGAAGGGAGAGGAGGGAGCAGATCTCCCCTTATTCATTCTCAAACAAGTCTTCCATTCTGTGAATGCAATAGGAGGCTTTTGTGAATGGTCAAGGGGAGTGTAGGGGGTGACTACAAAGCACATTCTACATAAGGGCAAGAACTTAGTCGCAGCTCTGGAAGAAGAGCACTGACACTAGTATCCAGCATCATTTTTATGCTACACAGCACCAAGCAGGACCTAGCATTACCAACATTAGAGATAACTCCTTTGTACATAGGATTTAAAAAAAAACCTAGAGCTCAACTTTTAAAGCAACCGTTTAGTGATTTTTTTTTTTTTAATAGTACCAGGCACACTACTAACCAGCAATGCTGGCAGCTGTCGTTTACAGTAGAAATCTTCAGTCCTCTGCCCCCAGATATCCCCACAGCAGAGACCTTCTGGTGCTGCAGTGGTTAACATCAGCAGCTACACCTGTGACAGGCACTTTACTACAGTGCCAACTATGCCCACCCTTTCTGCCCAGTGTTGCCAACCTCCTGCAACATTTTTTACTGACAAAACATGGAAATTGTACTTATGGAGCACATTTTTTACTGATAATCTGAAAAATAACAAAAAAGCAAGAAAATCAATATTTCAACAGTATAAATACAATATTCAAACACTGACAATACCCATAACAAATAATTTGACTGGTTTAGGCCCTTTTCACACTGACGGTGTGATTGGGTCTGCCTGCCAGTTTTTCAGGTGGACCTGATCGGTCCATTCATAGCTCTCTATGGAGCTGCAGGTGTCAGTGGGTGACATTAAAAATAGACGGATGGGGATCAATTCCTTATCTGTCCGGCGGATTGGATGACAGTTGGGTTGAAAGGGACAGGCGGTCTGTTTCCATCCGACCGCCCCATAAAAAACAGCGGGCTGTGCC